GGGGCCCGCGGGCCCCTCCACGGCAGTGCCGGGAGACCCAGCAGCCTCCCTGTCCTCCTTGTTGCTCGTCAGGTAGGTAAGCTGGAATGAATGTTGGGCTCAAGGCCTGTGACGTAGCTCAAGCCAAACGCAGGCTTCATGGAAGCAGAATTACTAATGAGCCTAGTACAGTGCTGACCTGGCCAGGAAGGCTGAGAGAGAGCACGTGAGGAAAAAAGCATCAAAAAGGTTGGGACCAATATTCTCCCAGGAGTGGCTGTCATGTCTGGGAACTGAAAGGGGTTTTGGTTTTTTTTCCTATCCCTCAAAATAGCAGCACTTGAAACAGAACAGCAACTTCAGTGACACGGCAACTGTAACATCAAGGCAAGAGCACTGATGTAAGTTAACCTGCAAGTTGGCTTTTCAGTGTTGTCTTAGAAGCATGATCTGCACCTTTAGCAGAAGCCTTGTTTGAGTGCTTTACAGTTTGAATACAGAACTCAGGTTTTCCAGCTGCTTTCCCACAGAGCTGCAGTCCGCCCACTGTCCTCCACTCATCGGGATTTCAGAAGATTACCTGCGGTGACACAGACATGTCAGACTGCAGGTCATGCCTGGCATGATGTGGAGCAGCTCCTTGGCCACCTGCTTCTTTGCACGTGCAGGTTTGCAGAAGCAAACCAGGGATCTTACTTGCTGTTTGCAAGCCTGAAGTCAGTGTGGGCTCTGCATTTCAAGGGTGTGGTCATGTGTGAAAGAATGGCACTGCATAAAGAAGTAGGGAAATTAATGGCGTATCTTGGCTGCTTTAATTCAGGACTAAGAATTGGAAAAATGCTGCTGTACCAGGCAGAGCACTCCAGTGGCAAGGGGGGACATGAGAGACAACTGTCCTTTAAACACACAAAGGGTGGCTGTGGCAGGCCATCCATGCTGCTTGGACTCTGACTGAGGCCAAAAGTCTTGAAGCTCGGATTAATGCTAGAAGCCGAATAAAGCTGACTGTCCCTCCTGGCTGCATGTAGGCTTAGGTGGCCTTGCCGGAAAGGGAGCTCCTCACTCTCTGGGCAGCACCGAGGATCTTACTGCTCGTGTCTCCCCAGTGTGGGGCGCTTCCCACCTGCTCCCACAGTAAGTGCCCGATACTGGTGCTAGACTGGAGCACACAGGGATGTGAAATCCACTGTACTCGGCCTCTCTTGGATGGATTTGTTCCTTGCTGTTTTTTTAGGCTTAGCTTACAATTTGCTGGATGAGCCATGGAAAATAGAGCCGTGTGTGAGAAACTGCCTGCCTTTGCCAACGAAAGCTGTTCTTCACTGTCTCTGTCCCCAGAGTGCTTAAGAAAGTAATCCAATAGCATAAAGTTGAAAAAATAGTGAGTGAGGCACACGGCTAACATTTTGCATGCTGTTGTTTCCTCTCCATGATCCCTACTCATTCTTTTTAACTGCTATTACAGAGGTGCAGGGATTACTGACGGGAAGTATCAGTTAGTCATTACAGGCATATTTGTTTTCAATGACAGGTGTATTTATGTCTGTTGAAGGTTGTTTTGAAAACAAGTCTGATCCAGACTGTAACAAAGCAAAGCTGTAACATCCAAAGATGGCAGCTATTTTTGTGCTGCAGCACATAGGAATCTGGCTCAATCCATCAGTAAATTCAGCTGGTGCTCTCCTGCCTGCCCTCCCTCTCGTATTACTGGTCTCTAGCAGGAAAAGCCAAACAGGCAGGCAGGTCCTGAACCGTCACAGTCCTCAGGATGGCATTTTTCTGAAAGGTGAAACTGGCACAGGAATGCACTAACAGACTGGATGGATGTTGGTGGTGTATAGCCCATCTGGCCTTCCTTTCCTGATAGCTGCAGAGGGAGGTGGACACCCCAGCTAAACCTCCCTGTGCGGTGAGTCAGAGCTCACCATGAACTTCATATGAGAAAAGGGTCCTGACGCACCAAGTGCTGCACAAGCACACAAGAAGCAGACTTTGGCTTTGTGGCTAGACACAGCTACGGCCAACCTGATCTCGTGCTGGCAGCAGTCCTGCGTCTGGAGACCTCCAGAGGTCCTTCCAGCCAACGCTCGCAGGATGCCAACTCTGGCAGAGCATTAACAGAAGGGAAGGAAAGGTTTCCATTTTATATTTGGGCTCCACTGGGAAATGGATGCAAAGGGAGATACACAATCTTGCTGCAGTTAGGCAGCACAAATGATCTGCACTAAAACGGGGGGTTAAACCCAGTCCTCATCAGTCCCAGACCCGTTCTTTAAGTGAGAACTGAGCGAGTGCCTTGGAATCAAAATTTTTAAGGGAAGAATTTTACCTTTTTTCCTGGCAGATAATTTAGAAAAATTGATTTTCATATCTCTCCCAATTCTAAAGTAGTCAGTTTTCTGCACTCCCCTCCTGCATCCCTCCAGCTCTCTTGCTACCCTGCGAGAGCAGCTTGAGCACCAAGCCTGGAGTGAGCCGTGCCTCGTGCTGACCAGGTCACCCGTCTGTAGTGGCTGGGGGGCGGGATCCAGGCACCGGTTGGGGTGCAGAATCACAGCCCGCAGCTTAGGGTAGCTGTACCCCCGTGAGGACCTCACTTTGCCTGCCAGACAGGTGTCTGGCTTCACGTGCGACTGTCCGCTGCCTCACAAGCTGCAAGACTTAGTTTCCTATGCTCCAGAGCTCTGCTATGGCACCAGGAGGCCACATAAGCTTACGGTGACGATTATGTCCTTTCTCTGCTCTCTGAATTACAGTCTAGTGACCTGCAGTAGAGTTTTGCTTTTCTCAGCTTTCAGACCACAAGGCCGGAAATGAGTCCTTCCGTCGAAGTGCATTTGCTGTAGTCTCAAAATAAGATGCACCCGTCTGCGGCCAGCATCCTGAGAGAGGCTGCGTAGGGGAACAGCCTGTGTCATTTCTGTCTCTCTGTTCTTGAGAATATTTTTTATGGGTCCCGAAAAAAACACCCCACCCCAAGACCCATGTCTTGCAGGAAGAGATGTGTGACTTGAAATCAGCCTGAGGTTCCAGAGAGTCCTTAAACCTGTGTAAAACCAAGCTTTGGTTCTCGTTGCTGGTGAGGCAAACCACATGCCGGGCCATGCGAGGAGGCATTGTTATCCCCCCTGCTGGGCATCCACTGGGGAGGGATGCGGAGAAGCTGGAGAGAGGCCAGCAAACAGCTGCAAGCCGGGAAGGGGTGTGGGGCACATGGCCTGCAGGCAGAGCTGGCAGGAGCTGGGCTTGGCTACCCTGGCTGAAGGGAGGCAGGAGGGGGGTTTAACATCAGCCTAAAACTGCTGGAAAGGCAGCTGCAAATTGCTGAAGGCTTTTTGGTAGCCTCAGCTGGTGCAATGAGGGGCAACAGCCACACGGCACTGGGGGGTTGTAGTTGGCACAACTCCTTCGCCAGCAGCCCTGGAACAAGGCACCAGGGAGGTGGGGATGATCCCTGTCCTGGGAGGGCGTTTTAGCTGTGGCCACATGAAGCCTGGGGGACTGGGAGAGGCAGCTGCAAATTGCTGAAGGCTTTTTGGTAGCCTCAGCTGGTGCAATGAGGGGCAACAGCCACACGGCACTGGGGGGTTGTAGTTGGCACAACTCCTTCGCCAGCAGCCCTGGAACAAGGCACCAGGGAGGTGGGGATGATCCCTGTCCTGGGAGGGCGTTTTAGCTGTGGCCACATGAAGCCTGGGGGACTGGGAGAGCCCTGCCACCAGTGGGGCTTGGGCCGAGAGCCCTGGCACTGCTGGGGCCCTGTGAACTGCGGACCACGTTCTGTCTTATCCGACCCTGTCCTTCCGTCGAAGTGCATTTGCTGTAGTCTCAAAATAAGATGCACCCGTCTGCGGCCAGCATCCTGAGAGAGGCTGCGTAGGGGAACAGCCTGTGTCATTTCTGTCTCTCTGTTCTTGAGAATATTTTTTATGGGTCCCGAAAAAAACACCCCACCCCAAGACCCATGTCTTGCAGGAAGAGATGTGTGACTTGAAATCAGCCTGAGGTTCCAGAGAGTCCTTAAACCTGTGTAAAACCAAGCTTTGGTTCTCGTTGCTGGTGAGGCAAACCACATGCCGGGCCATGCGAGGAGGCATTGTTATCCCCCCTGCTGGGCATCCACTGGGGAGGGATGCGGAGAAGCTGGAGAGAGGCCAGCAAACAGCTGCAAGCCGGGAAGGGGTGTGGGGCACATGGCCTGCAGGCAGAGCTGGCAGGAGCTGGGCTTGGCTACCCTGGCTGAAGGGAGGCAGGAGGGGGGTTTAACATCAGCCTAAAACTGCTGGAAAGGCAGCTGCAAATTGCTGAAGGCTTTTTGGTAGCCTCAGCTGGTGCAATGAGGGGCAACAGCCACACGGCACTGGGGGGTTGTAGTTGGCACAACTCCTTCGCCAGCAGCCCTGGAACAAGGCACCAGGGAGGTGGGGATGATCCCTGTCCTGGGAGGGCGTTTTAGCTGTGGCCACATGAAGCCTGGGGGACTGGGAGAGCCCTGCCACCAGTGGGGCTTGGGCCGAGACCCCCCGAGAGCCCTGGCACTGCTGGGGCCCTGTGAACTGCGGACCACGTTCTGTCTTTATCCGACCCTCGGCAGCACAGCAGGGAGGATTGGTAATTTAGGCCTGTCTCTGAGAGGTAGCCAATGAACTGTGTCTTGGACTAATTAGGCTTTAGGGCTCAGGAACTCCGTTCCAGTTGCCTGGCCTCTGTTTTGACCCCTCTTTTCTTTGAAGTTCATAGAGAAGAGGGGAAAGGAAATGAGAGGAGAGGCCCTGCTTTTCCTGTAAAATGCCTCATTCCTTATAAAATCGTTTGGCAGAAATCTCTCTCAGCTGGACAGGCTGAATACTTTAATACACGCCTGCAGTCATTTTCCTCCCTTGTCTCATTCCTCTGGCTGCTCAGTCGCTGCTCTGCATCAGTAAAACCGTGGGTGCACACACAGAAATAATCCTCGAAGAGGTAGCAGAGAAGATCTCCAAAAGCATGTTAGGGGGCTCTGAGTTGCAGCAGCTGTGTTATTTCCTGGACTGGCTGGAAGTGCACAGCACCACGCAGTGCGGTGGGACCAGCTCCAGCTCAGCTTTGGGTTTTCAGACCTTACCTCCAGGCAAGCCTGCTGGGACACACAGCTTGCAGCAGCCTTTGCCAGTCCATGGAGAAACCACACCAAACATCCTCCCTCCTGCATTAACACACAAGGAGGAAAGCAGCCCAGGCATGATGAGGGAGAGGCACATAGTGTCTCAGATCTGTCCTGGGCACTAGGGATGTTTCAGAGCAGCGGGCAGCTGAAAGCCCCAAAGGAAGGCAGCCATATTCCCTCCCTTCCACCGTAACACAGAAACACCAGGAGGTCTTGTTAGGAAGGCATCTCTGGAGGTCTGTAGTCCAACTCCCCGGTCCAAAGCTAGATCAGGTTGTGCTGAGCCTTGTCAAGTTGAGTTCTGCGCACCTCCAAGGATGGAGATCTGGTCTCTGAGATGCACCACCCTCACATGGAGGAATCTTCTCATGCCCAGCTGGAATGTCCCATCTTGCAGCATGTACCCGTTGCCCCATGTCCTGTCCTTGTCTGCCTCTGAGAAGAGTCTGGCTCAGTTTTTTCCATAACCACCATTTAGGCAGCAGATGACCCCTATGAGGACCCCCCAGCTGTCTCTTCTCCAGGCTGGGGAAGCCCAGTTCCCTCAGCATCTATTCATACACCCTGTGCTGCAGCCTCATCGCCACCTTGGTGGTCACTGCTGGACTCCCTCCAGTTTGTCAGTGTCTTCCTTATACTGGGTAGCCCTGAACTGGACGCAGTGCAGAGAAGTGTCTTCAGCAGCACTACGTAGTGAGGGAGGATCTCCTCTCCTGTGCTGAACTTTGTGAGCTTGCTTCTGGCCCATTCCTCCAGCCTCTTGAGGTCACACCGGGTGGCAGGCCTTCCTCCCGAAACATAGCGACCGCTGCCACAGTTGACATTAGCTATGGGCTTCTTCTCAGCTTTTCTTGATATGGGTTGAAACCCACCTTTTCACCAGATGAGTGTGCAGTGGGTCGGCAAGGGTCCCAAGAGCTGCCTGGGGTTTCCTCCTGTCTTGGCCGGGCATCTAAGGCAAGCCGTGGGAACTGCTGTTTCCCTGGAAGGTGGCCTTGCTGCAAAAGGCGGCTCACATGGAGTGTGGTTAGAGCTGGAGCCACTCTTACTTCTCCTTTTGAGAGGTGAAAGGACAGCCCGAGTGTGGTCAGAGATTTCCTGCACCTACGTTTGGTGGTGGGCCACCTGCAGTCCTTGGGCTGGAGGTTTCACATCCTCTTTTGGACCAAGCCTACCCCACTGCTGTGGGGACAAGGACCGAATCTGGCCACAGCGGGGCCTGAGCTCTGGTTTGGGTGAACAGCCGGTGATGGGGAGTCTCCGGCTTACCCGGTGCTCCTCACGTGTGCCTGGGGGTCCAAAGGGGGTCTGCAGCAGCGTGTAAAGGGGCCGTTCTCAGACTGGCCACTGGCTTCACCTCAGCCCTCTGACTGCTGGCTTGGGCATCTCAGAAGCACTGGCACCTTCCCTAGGCTGCGAGGAGCAGCTGACCTAAGGCTGGTTGGGGAAGGAGGATGCTGGAAGGAAGAGGCCGGGGAAGATAATGCTAGCACTGGGTTGTGCAAGGAAGTTTTCTGCCCTTTGCAGTGAGGAACAGGTGCTGAGGAGCATGGGGAGATCCAGCGCAACTTGTAGATGGCCAGACAGTTGCTGCAGTTCCCATAGAGGACAGCTTTTGGGTTCCAGCCTTGTAGTGTTTCCACATACAATTAGCACAGAGTGCCTGGAGAAGCCATGCATGCAACTATGCAGCAGTGCAGGGGCATGGGGGTGCATTAAACCAATACACAGGCACCCCTTTGGGTTCCAGCCTTGTAGTGTTTCCACATACAATTAGCACAGAGTGCCTGGAGAAGCCATGCATGCAACTATGCAGCAGTGCAGGGGCATGGGGGTGCATTAAACCAATACAGCCACAGGCACCCCTGCACAGTTTTCACAGAGGTGCCCGCTATGCTTCTTATATGCATGGCTTTTGAAATCCTAAACGACTTGTGATATGAGGACAGCCAGGCATTTATTTGAGTGCATACAGAGCAGAGGAGGCCTCCTGAAAGCAAAACATGGCATGGTATACTTAGGCTATATCATCTTAGAGGAGGAGACCACGTTACAGATTTATTTCTGAAGCTGGACCTTGCAGCCCGTTGGAATAATTTTAATGTGTGACTCATGTCAAAACTGCTTCAAGGTTAGAAGTGAAATTAGAAATTAGGCTGAAATGGCTGTTATTCACAGGCAAAAATTGATTCAAGACATTTGCCTTTCAGTTTTAAGGACTGCAGGCGGGGGAGAACTGTGAGAAGAGTAATTTCTGTGTAACTGGAGACTAATCACAAATAATGACATTCCTTGGTGACATTAAATAGGATTGATTATATTTAACTTGCAGCCTGTTACATTTCTCAGTCGTAATCTTGGGCTGGGCTCTTGGACGGTTTTACAAATGAGGCAAGATGTGATAACATGAGCAGCAGGGGTAAGGAAGGGACAGGGCATGGTGTTCGTGGCTTGGCATGTGGCAGCCTTTCTTCAGGGTTAGCCCCAGTCCCGGTCCCTGCCTGGGGATTGTCAGCACCAGCAAGACGCTCGGTCTCCTCTCCCAGGAGCAGTGGTCTCGCTGCTCCGTCACCAGTGTGAAATGCCTTTGCCCATGACTGAGGCTTGGCTCTGGAGCAAAACAAACCATTTGACAGCGCAGCGAGGCTCATCTGCGCTCGGGTTGCAGGCTCAGAGGGCTGGGGTTTGATGTTACGAGCTGGCCACCGCGCTTTCCTGTGCGGCATGGAAGGAAAGCATCCAGGTGGCTGGGGTTTCAGGCACCAGTGGCACGAGCAAGAGCTGTCTCTTCAGGCCATTCTTCCCTGACACACCAAACAAAAGCACTTTCGGTGCCTCAAAATGTCTGAGCTGCCTGCCCTTTGTTTGGCTGTGTCTCTGCCTCTGGGTGTCTCTTGGTGGGTGCAGTCCAGGGGACCAGCTGCTGTGCCTTTGAACAGGCAGCATCCTGCTGGAGAAGGGTGCTTTCTCCCAGATTAAGTGGGTGCAGGACAACCACAACTCCTCTCACCCATCTGTGCGGGAGGCTGAGTAGGGGGAAAATTCTCCAGGCTTTTTCCCCAGCTGGCAAGGGAGGGCTGGGTTGATGGGAGGGACTGGCACTGGGACAGAGAGACACTCCAGCAGCCTGTACTGCTGCCGGGCTTGCAGGGTATGGCAGCGTGGGAGCTGGTGTCGTCTTGCTGCTCTGTGTGTAGCCTGGCCATAACGAACCTCACAGTGGACAAGGCACACTTGGGAGACAAGCAGAATCCTCCAATTAAGTGTTTTGGGTTTTTTAAATTAATATCTGCAATATCAGCATGCAGCAGGGTGGCTGGATGAGATCCCCAAGTGTCCTGTCACTGAGGAGCACACACCTCACAGGGGCTGAAGTCAAAGTTTGAGAGTCTTGGAAATATCTTCTGGGACCCTCCCCTTACTGTTTTTATAGCCAGGACCTCAAGTTGAGTGGAGGGAAGTCCAGCTCCTCCTGGCAAAGGGAGAAAAGCCAGCTACTTGACATTCAGAAAAAGCAAAGCTGTCTCTGAGTTGTCTTCCGTACCTGCAGAATACCCAAGAAAGCCAAGACGGGAACACCACAGCTGCCAAGGTGGGTCAGCTTGCACCCGTGTCTCATAACAAAGACAGATTTAGCGGGTATTTGCACCTAAGCAGGATTTTCTTTTATTTGTTGCAACAAGAGAAGCTGTAGGCATTGCTTAGTGATTTAATTTTAGTTATGTACCACAGACCACATTTTCTGCTTCATTGAGTAACTTAGTAAAGCACCTTCAGCCACTGTTGTTTATGACCAACTTACCTCACCCATATGGTTTCGGACCCTCAGCAGTGCTGGTGGTGGAGCCTCTGAGGGTCTCCAGTTCATCCCCCCCATTCAGATCAGGTCTGAGTGTGCTAAAGCAGCTCAACTCAGAGGTGGCAGGGGCTGGAGATGGCCCTAGGGTAGTGGAGGTGAACACCTGGGGCAGCTCCCAGTGCACCTCAGGCAGTGCGGTGTGCACACACCTCCTCATGTACCCCCATGCACAGACCGGCTGGGGGACAGGGCTGAGCCCAGGGTGACGTGCAGGGTCATACAGGAGCCAGCAGCACAGGAGTGAGCAGGGCCCCCTGAAGGTCTCCAACCCCAGCGCACAGCAGGTCTCTCCTCAGCACGAGGTCAGGACAGCTGTGGCTTTGTGCAGCCATGCCTAGGAACCCCCGCAAGGATGGAGACCTCCTCCCTCTCTGGTGCCCTGTCCCCCTGCCCATCCAAGTTGTGCTGGCTGGGGTGGCAGATTCTGTGCTTGTAACAGTGGCAATAAACACACCCACAGTACCCACCTATGCTGAGAGTATCTGCAGAAGCACACCATGCAATGAGTGCTGGTTGTGGGTCTGATGTTCACACTACAAGGCAAGGAGACCTCCTAGAGGCCTTTGAGATTTCCCAGCTTGGCTGTACAAGTCCTTGAAGCTGTTCTTGCTATGAGCAGCGGTTTGGAGCTGGGTGCCTTTGGAGGTCCCTGAATTTTCCTGTGATTCTGCTGTCGTTGCAAGTTTGCTTGGCTTTCATTCTTGTTCCTCTAAACAAGAATTTGTTGAGAACTAATTTGCCGTAGCTCGAGCACTGTTGTGGTGAGAAGGCTGCACAAAGCTTTCTTCCTTTAACTGCCACCCCAGGAGACCTTTCTCCTGGCTTATACCAAAAGGGCAGGTTGCCACCCAATGTCAGACCCTTAGCCACCTTGGGCCTTTCAGACTTGTTGGCCAGGTCACAGCACCACGCCAGTGCACAGAGGCCATGGACTCGGCAGAGGATCCAAGGATGGTCCCAGAGACTTGTTGCTGGCATTTAATGAAGAGTTTTGTACCTCTGTGGTGATAACGTGTGTGAAAGGGAGCCTCTTCTCCCTCCCAGCCCCATGTGGTCATGGGGAGTGTGGAGAGCTGGGCTTGGACTGTCTTCATCCTGACGTTCCTCTCATGAATAGCACCATGATGGAGCACCCCACGCTCCAAAACTCTGCCCCAGGAATAGGGGAAGGCCTCTCCACGACCAAGATGCACGGCTGTCTTCTGAGGGCAGTGCTGCGCTCTCGTTCACGTGCCTGAACCAAGAAAAATGTCACAACAAATACCTATGCTGGCTGTGCTTTCCTGTGACAGGAGTATGACTTCTTTCAAGGCATGTTTCAGCTTCAGGTGTCAGTTTGCTGTGCTTTTACTGGAGCCTTTATGAATGCAACAAAAAGATCTGGATAAGGAACCATCCCTCCTCTGGAGAAACTCTGTGGACACCTTTGTGGGGTAAAAATGAAAACATAACGAAACAAAAAAAACCTCACCTAGGATACATCCAGTGATAACATTGCTCAGTTACAGGTTGGCTTCAGGGTGCATGATAGCAAATGTTGGAAAAATTATTATGGTAACCATTTCACATAATTAACCTTGTTGCTTTTCAATTGCTTAATTAAATTGCCAACAGCATCATGTCTCAGGACAAACCCTGCTATTCAAAGTTTGACTAGTCAGGGAAATGATTATAAGCATCACAAGGGGTCTACAGGTAAGACCCTGAAGAAAACTCTGGCTCCCATTGTTTTCCTCTTTTCTAGATTGGATGTTTCTATTTTTACGGCTTTTAATAAAAGTCTTCCTTTGCCAGGGAACAGAAGAAGTGCAGCAATACATGTCTGCAGACAAAAGATTAAGTTCTAGAAAACATGAATTTTATATGTCTATATATACACACACGCATACATGTATATGTACATGTATACTTACATACTTTTTTTTTGTTTACAGTGCTGGAAATAATCATTATGAGGGAGTGGCGGACACAGTGAAAAGCAGAGCCTTAGTCCGGAGGGACCTCTCTAAATGGGAGGACTGGACCACCAGGATGCTCACAAAGCCCAGCAAGTAGAAGTGCCAGGGGTGCCTGGTGCACAGGGGTGAGTGAGGGATAACCCTGAGCATCAGTCCAGGCTGTAAAGTGACTGGTGGAGCTGCTGGATAGGACTTGCAGGTAACTCTGAACATGAGCTTGAACATGGGCCAAAAGTAATTCTCACTGTGAATAATGCAGACTGCTTACTGGGCTGTATGAGGAGGAGCACGGCCAGCCCAGTGGAGGGGTGTTAGAGACTGTTGTTTCTGTGAGTCCAAAAAGCTCTTCAAGATGATGCATTATAGTAAGGAGAAATGTGTGATGATGCTGGCAAAGTGCAAGAAAGATTCCTTCGCAACCCTCCACAGACCTGCCGAGGTCACGGGTTGTCAGACCAGTGGAAAGCCAAGTGTTTCAGCAGGGAGACCAAAGTGGGCAGGCGTGCTGGCAGATGGCAGGCAAGATGTTTTGCTGTGTGTTAGGCACTGGAGTGAACACTATACAGCTTGCTGGCATGGCCTAAATAACTCATTATCTGGGTAGGGCAGCCATGAGAGCCACGCAGGGGTGCAGGGTGCCAGCAGCACTATCCCTTCTGCTTCCTCCCAGGGCCATCACTCCCGGCACGCTGGAAAGGCAAAGGTTAGGGTGGGTCTTGTGACACAGCCTGATCCTTTCTCAGTCAAAATGGGAGGTTTTTGGCACTGTCTGCTGTCCTTCGGCTTGTTCTTACATTTTGTTTCTGTTAGGCGTTGTTTTCTCTGGAGGCCTGGAATCCTTGGCCACACCGTGTTCCAGTGTTGCTCTTGCCGATATCACTGTGGTTTCTGCTGGGTGGGTTTCTATCGTACCATCTCGTGTTAGTGGAGCAGAGGTTGCTGAAATGGAGCAGTCTCTGCCCAGAGCTGTTGGTGCAACAGCAGCCCATGGAGTTAAACATTAGCAGAAGTTACTTATTTCCCCTAAAGGGGGATCTTTATAGCTCTGCCCTTATTTTGTATTGCAGTCCCAGCAATACTGTAACTCTGACAGCAGGGGTTAGAAATTTGATTTGTTAAGATATTGCAATGTCGTTATGTCTGGTGCTTTTTCAGAGTTTCCTGGATGTTACTTGAAACAGGATAATCACTTACTCATGTGCAACCAACGACCACATGGAAGCTGCTCACAAAAGAAGCTGCAGCCTTTGCTAACAAAGGAACTCCTTTCTGTTTTATTTTTCCAAACAAAATTCTCAAAACAAAGTAATTAAATTTCTCCCTTTGTTCTGGCTTTTGTGTTTGCTCTCACTTACAAGCAACCCCAGTGGGGGGGATGGAAGATATGGGACTTAGAATAAGGACTGAAGTTTTTCCTGTAGGTAATTATTCCTAGTCCAGAAATGTCAGAATGGGGAAGATTTTTCTTCTTTGGACTCATTTGTCTAGTGCATTCATATTACCATAGATGGAATACTTCAGAGAAGATATAAGAGAAGGATTTCAGTTTAATCAGGTCCAGGCACAAATTTTGGACCAACAGCTAATACAGCAGAGCATCAGAACATCTGTCTCCTCTCTGCACTCAGATCCAAGAGGACTCAAGAGCTATCCAGGCATTTTTATGACAAAGTTTTGCTTATTCAAGAACTGCCTCCCCTTTTCTCCTCTTCAGTTTTCCCCTTCTTCTCCCAAGCGCAAATCAGTAACCTTTATTAAGACCAGGTCCGAAAAACATTTCTGTGTTTAAATGTGAACAGAGATGGTCGTTTGTTTTTGGGGATGTCAGTCAACCAGGAATGCGTAATCAACGTGAGTGATGAATTACACGCAGCATCTCCATCTGCTCAGGCAGCCCTGGGAGCCCGGAGCTGGACTGAATCAGGATTCCTGGGACTGAGAGCCCGAAGCAGGGGCAGGCCAGGGAGGAGTCAGCTTCCCAGAGGGGAATGAAGCTCTGGTGAGTTGGGGTGGAGCGGTTGGCACATGGGCACAGCTAGAGTGTAGGAGACGTGGTGGGAAGAAATGCTGGTGCAGGGAGACATTACATGGTGGCCGAGTGCATCCGGAGGATGGGTGGAGGGGCTGGGCTGGGTCTCTGGCCCCAGGCCGGTCTGGTGTGTGAGATGGACCTGTGGTGGAGTACCGGCATAGAGGGTACTGCATGGGGACAGCTCTGCCTGGGGAACACCAATGGGGGCCACCCCAGGGTGAAGGACCAGACCCTGCTGGAGCCAGACGTTCCATTGTTCCATCGACCACCGTTCTGGAAACGGGGCAGATAAACGTAGACCGGGCCTCACCCAGCACCACCTCTGCTCATCCGTGTTTTCAGGCAGGACACAGCTCCTCCAGAAGTGAACGGGCAGGGGGGTTTCAGTCTGCCCTAATGCTGCACCTGAGATGAATTGTCTGTGGGGAGGCTTTTCACAGCCTCAGCCCCTGGGAGTGATGTGTTGTGGCCTTTTGTCTCTCCCTCCACCCTTGCCTTTGCAGATCGTTCATGGGCTTTTGCCAGAGGCAGCCAAGACAATCTGGTGTTAACGATCCACCCTGTAGATGCTGAGGTCCTAGACCTGGGGAACCCTGCAGCTTAGGCTTTTGCAGCCACTGTGAGCCACTTCTCTTTCTTGGCCACATCCTCATACGGTGAAACGTTACATCATCTGACATCAGCTGTTGTCTCTCATTTGTTTCTCTTGGGGGAAAGGCCACTAGGCTAAATCATGGCCCCTCAGGAGGTCCTCTCTCCTGGTCGGTTTGCTGTGACTGTCACCTTCAGCAGCCACCAGAGAACAGTCACTTGGCAGGATGTGTCCTGCATCTTTGCAATGGTGAAGTGGCACAAGTGACTCGCGCAGTGTTTAGTCACCCCAGTGGGAGGGATGACTCAGCTGGGTGTTGTGCAAGTTACAGTCCTGAACGTAAAGAATGGGGATCTTCCACAGGACATCCTTCAGAGGTCCTGCGAGACTTAGACAACCAGCTGGCTTATACTAGCAGGAAATCAGAGAAACACTTAAATCAGAAGGGAGCTCTGGAGCACTCTTAACACATCCCCTGCTCAAAGCAGGCTAGCCCCAACGTCAGGTCTGGTGGTTCTGAGCCTTACCAATTTGGGTTTGGGGTATCTCCAAGACCAAAGACCCTACCAGCCCTCTGGTCCCTGGCTGCACCCCTGCTGCAGGGAAGCAGTTTTCTCTTGTGTCTAAACAGCATTTCCCCTGTGGCAACCCTTTGCCCAGACAATGGTAATGTAAGCGTGTACTTCCACCTTCGCATGGGCATCCTTCTCCTTGGGCACACAGGGACAGCAGCGAGACATGAGGCCACGAAGCATTGTGTGAAGTTTTTGGGGCGGGGAGGCAGCTGCATGCTGTCTGACTGCACAGGGAAGCAGCAAGGAAACCCAGTCCCCGAGTCTGTGGTGGGGATGGAGCTGAAACAGAAAAAAAGGACTTCCTGAAGCTCAGACCCGCCTCGTTTGCCCTCCTGCTCTGCTTATCTGCTGCGGGGCTGGCAGGAGAGATGGTGGCAGGGATGGGGCTTTCTCACTGTCTTCCAGAGGCAGCAGTGCCAGGGTGAGTCTCTCCCTGCGCTCTAAGCTGCTGGCGGTGGATTGGAGCCGTGTCTCCCAGGTGGTGGTTCGGCCCATGGCTGATTTTTTCTGGGGTTGCAGAGGTTGGTTTGCAGAAGGGAGTATGACGGCATTTCAGGCATGATGAGTGTGGTTTCCGCGGCAACCTGCAGACGTGAGTCAGCATCTCCCTGCTGCTGTGGCTGGGAGCACAGAGCTGCATGTCCCCAGCTTTGCTCCGGGCATGGGACATGAAAAGGCAATGCTGGTACAGGGGAGGGGAGTGTGTATAAGGTCTGAGCTACCCTGAGAGCAGGAAATACGTCAAAGAGAGGATCAAATCACTTCTTCTGCCAGCTAAATGTGGGGATCCCTTTTGCAGAATGGGGACTGCTCATGCCCACCTGAAGGATGTGTGCTGTGCTTAGCGTGAAGCTCCTCTTAGCTTCCTCCAAGCATATCTGCTTGTGCTCTTGGCATGTGCTGGCTGGGGCTCTGCAAGTGTGCAAAGTGCTGTGTCCAGTGTGTACTGGACACCAGTTCAGACCCATAGGCAAGAGCAACAAGAGAGCTGAAGCATGGTCCTTCCCTAGGCACAGAGTTAACTGTCTTGGTCTTTGCAGCTGCAACTCAAGATCAGGAGCCACCAGTATGAAGGACTAGCAAGCACCGCTGTGTGCTCTGTATGTGACCCACTGCAGCTGAGGCCCTGCACGGAGCAGGGAGCTGCAAATTACTGTTAGCAGAAGCGATGCAAACCCTACCTTCTGCATCTGTGGGAGTCACAGGACATAAAAGCTCCCAGGCAGTTCACTATGCAGCCCTGGCCTGTGAGCATCTGCTTATCATGAGGGAACAGGAGGGTCAGGAGAATGGCTGGAAAGGCAGTCCTGAATGGACTTCACCCAGCACGCACCCACACATGCTGGGCCTTCCTGCCCAGGCTGTGGACCCAGTGAGTATCCTCGGCAGTCACTGTGCCGGGTTTGGGTGCCAGAAGAGATTTGCTGTTTCTGCTCAGGATGTGCAAGGAGCCAAAGCCAAGCCAGTAAGAAATGGGGAGGCTATTCCCCCTCCCTGGGCCAAGAAAAGGTGTAACACCAGTAGTCATGCGAGTGCTGTCAACCTTTCTGGCATTCAAGGTAGGCTTCAGCCTTACATGTGCGGCAAAATATGTTTTCTCCTGATGGAAGGGCTGAAGTATTCAGTCCCCACCCACAGACTGTGTGAACAGATTCAAATTACCAGTTCATTGATCCCACCTGGGCAGCAGGTCCAGGTGACAAATGGCTCTGTGAGCACGTGAGGAAGTCCCCCAGTGTTTCTTTAAGTGCTCTGTTTTGAGACCAGTAAGTGCTGTGTAAATACTGGTGTGCTGGGAGCAAGCTGTGCTTGAAACATGAAACTCCTCTGAGAAAGGTCGTGTGCTTCCTCCTGGTGCATTGCAGGATTGCTAGCGGGAACTAGCCCCAATGATGCGCAAGGTGGAGAAACCTGTCCCATGTCCATCCCCCAAGGCATTGCTGCTCCCCACCCCCTGCCGCCCTTCTTGGCCGTGTGGTCCTTGTCCCTCTCTGCTATGAACGTGTTGGTCACCTCGCTTCTAAGGGACCAGGCTTCTAAGCCTGCTGGTTTCACACTTCCCTGTGTCCAAAACTGTAGCCAAGCTGCTTTGAACTCCTGTAACCTGCGAGCAGTCTCCTTGCCCCATCTGCTGCAGAGGACATCTGTCCCAAACAACAGCGAAGAGTGCCCTTGGGGCCCGAACAGCCCAGGCTCCTTTCCCCACTACAGCCACAGCTCCCAGGACTCAACAGCTGTCTCGCAGTATGTTTGTAAATCTCTGTGTTTGCAGTGAAGCGAAGCTAATTTATTTCCGGGAGGTTGCCCAAAAAATGTTGCAATTCAGGCTTTCTCTGCCATAGGATTTTGGTGTTGTGCAGGGTGTTGTTTCTCTTCTATGCGTTGACCCACAGGACTGACCCTCCTGTGTGGGGGTTTGACCCTCCACAACTACCCAGATTTGCCTGGAGCCATGAAAATGGCAGCTCCCTAGCTCAGCAGCCTTATTCTCTGTCCTGTGGTCTAGTGCAAGATGTCTCTGCTGCCTTTTTATATACTAGGACCTTGCAGAAACACACACATGAACGGAGACATACATAATCCTCAGGATGATGTTTTGCCAGGTACAGTAGATCCAGGGAAAGATACACACAGATGTTGCTCCAGGCACAGTGTGGGCCCACAGCACGATGCAATATTTGGGCAGGTGAGAGTGTGGGCATGACCAAAGGTTTTCAGCCTCTGATCCACTCCCACGCTGCCCGGCTTTTTGGGCATCCCGCTGGCTGTTTCCATTCTCCTCTTGCTCACCTGATGGGGTCAGTCTGCAGTTCAAAGAACTTGCCCTCTTACTTTAAGGACCTTCCTGGTGGATGAAGTGCCTCTGTGGCTGAAGAAAAAGCCCACGGCCTGCTGGAAGCAGCACAACTTTGTAGCAGGCAGATTTTGGGGGGCCCGGCAGCAATGCCTCCAGGCTGTCTGGCACATAGACATCTGCACGGGCAGACATCTGCATGGTCTCTGCCAGCAAGAAGCATGCACTCATTGCACGCGCATAGTGACAGAGCTGGCTGTCCGTCCTCCAGCCTGCCCAGGGTTTCAGAGGTGGAGAGGTGTTTTGTATACGCTGTGCCATGGCTCTGTCCTGTGCATGA